AGGTTTAGCTCCTTGACATTCGCCCCTTTAACAGACCTTTAACTGTTCATAGCAGGAATGTTTTGCCTGGTATTCTGCCTCGCCGCTCTGTATAAACAAATCACAGAATGGGGGGGGACATTGGGGTCATGGCTGTTCCAACAATAAGCCGGCAGCGTGTGTAAAAGGGAGAACTGGCATGGTGTGACAGGCACCATTTTAATTTTTTTATGCGGCGGCGACAGCCAGAGCCGGAGGTATATTGTTTTCAGGTTGTCTTGACAGAACTTCTTCAAATTTGGCACAAACATTCACTTGGACTCAAGGATCAACTGATTAGTTTTTGGAGTCAAAGGTCAAGGTCATATGCTTCTGGATAAACAGGGATGTAACCCGAAACTAGTCTGAGTGGCGGAGGGATACAACTGCGAGGCGGTAATTCAAGTTTAGCTTTGCACAGAGCCAGGCTAGCTGTTTTCTGCTGCTTGTAGTCTTTATGCTAAGCTAACTGTGCCATGGCGCAATATTCGAGATACTAAAACTCGACTATGTGAATCAAGGAGCTGAAAAAATTGATCCAATATCAACTTAATCTTACTAACGAGCTCCGAGCGTCTCAGGAAACAGTGAAAAGTGGGAGTAGGACGTCACTGAGCAGCATTTTTTCCCAGTTGAACTCATTTAGAAAAAGCTTGGTGACAGTAGCTACTCATAGGGAGTCGTTGGTGAGCTACTGTGGCTTGTGAGCTAGCTGCTAACACACTGTCTGTTTGCTAATCTTTTGCAGAGCAGTTTACACCTCGAAAGAGGAGCATGAAATTAAAGTTGATGGTGCAGCACAGCTAATAAGCTACGATAGCGTGCTTCACCTGTCAAACGTCAGCAAGCTCAGGGCAGTTTTCATGAACTAGCAGGTGAAGAAACACCAGGATCCCACTGAAATGAATTGATTCTGCTGCAAAATCTCACCATTTTAAATGCAAGATGCGTTTGGATAACATACCATGGGAAGTGAATTTTTCTTCTCTTTTTGACTGTTGCATCCTCTGTATATCTCTGAACCGTGGATTGAGGGGAATCCTGCATTGAGTGTTGTGTCGCTTCTTTTTGAACCGTTTTCACTTCATCAGACTCGTGTAAACATCAGAAATGTGGCTGAGAAGTCGCTTCGCTAACGTATTGGCAGCTCAAGGCTTTAAAGCTGGGTAGTATCAAAGAGTGGCATCTTTGTTTTACAGTTTCAAGCTGTGTGAGTTATTAATTGCTTTGATCCAGGCTGTGTGAATTTTTGTGTCTTTATTTTTTTCGCCTCTGCTTTTCTGCAAAAATAATTGTCCAAGCCTTTTTCTGGAATGATCTATTCCTGTACAGAAAGCTGTCGTGTGTGTGTGTGTGTGTGTGTGTGTGTGTGTGTGTGTGTGTGTGTGTGTGTATTTGCCTGCACAGCTCAATATTCTCTACATTATTTACGACGACTTGCATGAGCAGCAGTATTTCTGCGGAGGTGACTCAGGGGAGTTCGGTACACCGCTTTGAGCTTTAAAGTAGTCTTGTCCCCGTGACCCAGTCTCCCGTCTTCATCTGCCCGACAGCAATAGAGATGCAGGGAGCCCCGGAATAGAAAACGCAGGTTATATCTGTTTATCTGGGATTAGACTGTTTCTGAAGTGTACGTATATATTCTGCTGAGCTCATCCAATTGTCTCGGAGGTCACGGAGGGATGTGGTTGAAGTGACACAGAAATATGAGGTTATAAAACACGCCTGTAACGCCTCTGAGTCTCATGTTGCTTGTCATTTTTTAATCAGACGTTTGTGTCAGCATCCCCGCCTCTTCCTTTTTTCTTTTTTTTTGCTTCTTCATCTCCAAGGGGGCCAGGCTGGCTTCTTTCTCACCTCTGATGTTTATTACACAAACACCACCTAGGATCAAATATTCCTACTTTTTTTTTTCTTTCTATGTGGAGAAGCCAAGTGTTAGTGAGAGATAACATGTAGAGGGAGTGGGAGGTGAGGAAAGAGAGAGCTGCAGACTTGTTTATACGTCTTGATCTGACGGGATGAATAATTCAGCAAAGGGCTCCCCGGCACCCCAGAATTATATTAAAAGAACAGTTTGGGCAGTAGAAAAAAAATAAAAAAAAGGGGAGACGAGGTTGGCTAACAGCAAAAGATTGGAGTCTGTGATTACAGAGAGCACCGTGAATTATTCAAACCTGTTTCCCCCCCCAACACACACACACACACACACACACACACACAACAAAACATAGTGCAAAATCTCTGTGAAAGTCAATATGGCTTCAGTGATTAGAGGAGATTTCTCTGCGACGGGAGATGGAGAGGCACTGACAGCTTCCTTTTTACCCGAGGTCTGAGGAATCCTCGCTTTTCTGTTTGCCGTCAGCTGTCTGAAGTCTTCTTTCAGAGGTTTAACTTTGCTTCTGCTTTTTTGAGCTTTGCTCTCCCTAGGCGTTTGCAGTGCTGAACCTAGTGCAGGGCAAAGCTGTTTACTCTTGTTTAGAAAAACATGCTTTACTCCCAGTTTAGCTGTATAAATTCCTGGAATCATGTTTATTCATGGAACAGATGTAGTCGACCTTATCACAGTTTGAGATTATAAACTTAAAGCTGCTATGATCAGTATTTATAAAATGAACCATTAGTTGAGTGGCTGCGTGTATGTGCAAGCTGTTGGAACAAGTAGGGATGTAACGAGTCTCCACATCGATGGTTCGGTTCAGTCGCAGTTCGTTGCAAACGTTAAACCCCCCGAATAACAAACCCTCAGTCAACTCCGCAGTTCACTCTCTCTGTGTCATTTCCACACACAGCAGGCGACTGTTTACAGATATTTCTCTCAGGGTTTGGGGGGAGAGGGCGACTTAAATTATCAGGTGTCCAGAAACACAACTTCAAGTGAATGTTAATGCCGCTCTGCATCTGCTGCATGTGAAATGAGGGAAGAGTTTGCGAAGTTCACTGCATCAACTTAAGAGGTGCTAAAATGTCAGAGTTGTGTTTACAGCTCGTCTACACTTTCCCCAAGCAGCCAAAAAACAGTTAGCTCAGCTCATTTCATACCAAACACCTGACTTTAAGGGTTCCCTGGAAACAAACTCGATCGTACAATATGGCATCCTACCACGTCTAAAGGCAAAAGTGTTCCACATCACATCGTAACTTCCTCTTCATCGCATCCCACTGCCCCATTTTTCTTTCGCTGATTTCCATGATGTATGTATCTTCTGTATATCTATGGATTGGAAACATGGCTAACCATTTTCTTTTCCTTGAACAAAAAGACCAATAGTTGTGTGAAGAATGAAAGCTTGAAATAGGAACATACCAAGAGTAAAATTGCTGGTTTTGGGAAAGTAACAAAAAGTGTTTGAATGTGTTTTTTTTAAATTTGGAGGTTCCATAAATCTGATTCTAAGAGTTTTTAAATCACTATATTTCAGTGTGATGCAGCTCCTGATTACACCTTCAAATGAAATGAAAAAGGTCTGGGAAAAAAAGCAAAAAAACAGCAAATCTCCAAATCAGTGCTCTGTGAGGAACCTGTCTTTTCTTTGCAAGACAGCAGCGGAACAAAACTGCAGACCAAAACAATCCGTTATTGTTTCAACGTCACATATTTCACTCAAGCAATTCCATTTGAGACACACCCTAATACCAGCTGCTCCGTCAATACTGCTCAGCGGTCGAACAGCAATGGAAAAAGCTGTTATAATAATTACTGTGTGTGTTCTAAAAGAAGCCGACCTCCACGGAAAAGGCTGTGGGAAGAAGCGGGAGCGGGACTCCGACTGGGGAATACTGGAATTCTTGGGCTGGACGCTGTGGGAAGAGGACATGGTGGGAGGAATCCGGAGCTGGAGAACTCCCTGCCGGGAAAACTCCTGCTAAATGAGACTCGTGAGCCTGTGGCTGCTGCATGGGCCTTTTGTCTTATGTGCTGGCATCAAACACAGACAAAATTGACTAAGTTCCTCCATGTTGTAATTACTATTTGTTGGGGAAACGGCGTATCCCCATGCGCCGTGTCATTAGGATTAGCACTCGGCGGGGTATTGCTTTCCATTCTCCTGTAGCAAGAAAAAAAACTCAATATCCCATCTGTCACAAGCCATTCTCTGCAGCTAAACAAAGCCTGGCTACAGTAACAGCACCTAAATGGATTAATCCTCTTCAGCCAACATTATCTGCTGCACCTTGTTTGCAGGGAGAGAAAAAAAAACATGCACACTAAACACACCTGTGATCACTACAAGATGTTATGTAAAAGGAAAACACACATCCCAGCGCTGCTTATGTTCAAGGCCACGCTTTGGATTTACAGCTTTGAAGTAACAAATGTGGCTCGCAACCTAATTGGCTCAATTAGAATTCAAGCGATGAAGTAGAAGTCGAGAGGAGAGTGATATCGAGCTACAAGAGGCCTCGAGTTTCACCGAAGAGACGATTTATTTCACAGATCACAAGCAGCTCTGCTAAAATTCTGCACTTTGAGTCGTGTAATTTCGACGTTGACAGAAACCTTTGTGTAAAAGACCCGCCGCGCATCACTAGAGACAAAATGAATCAGACTCCCATTCATTAAAATGTTCAGTCGGAGTTTGTATTCATGATACCGCCTGGGCTGGTCTCAAACAGTCAAGAGGTACATTGTGTTATTAACCTGCAACTGTGTCTCCTTGTTAAATCCTTTAAAGAAATGTTTGCTCTGGAGCTGCTGCATGTGAAATGAACGTGGGTTTTTTTAAAACTCCAGTTTACCAACTCTGCTTTGGATATACTGAAAGTGCTGATTGGTGTTTTCCCTCTGCTTTTTCTACACTTCCTACAGTTTGCATCCCCTTGTTATTCCAGAGCTGGTGATTCATTTGACATCAGCATAAAGCAAGAAGCAGAAATGTGCTGCTGAGGGAAAACTTTTTCTGGTAGTTTGAGCCAAAATAGGATTCATAAGTCTCTCCTCTGTTTGACCTCTTGCCTTTGCTGTGCACTGTCTGCAGGTGTGCTGAGCCTGCCGGAGAGTCTGAACCTGCACCGGGACCAGCAGCGCTCCGGGAGGGGCGGAGAGGGTCATGGATACACTCAGGCCGAGCTCCGCACGCTGGAACAGTCGCTGCTCGCGACCCGGGTGGGCAGCATCGCCGAGCTGAGTGAGTGCAGTTTAACCATCATTATTCAGTTCGCAGTGCGTGTCAGAGAATTTCAACCCAGTAGGAGAGAAACAAAATATGAATACAAAAGTCCTAATTTATTTATGCACGAAAATAAGTTTTCAGGTTTCCCTATTCTGGCATTTGAAAAATATTTATGACAAAACTTTCCTCCCAAACAACCACCTGTTATTTTAGGGGATCTCCCTCCCCTGTCTCTGTTCAAAGATGGTCTTCAGCAGTTGCCGTGGGACACTGTAAAACTACTGTATTACATGTATAAAAATCCCTCATTTAAAGAAAATAATGAAAGTCAAGTCTCCAGAATCAAACTGGATGAACTGGACTGAAGGTGAAAGAGAAGCAACCTGCAGGTGCAACTTCTGAACCAGCGTCACAACAAACTTTATACCGAACAAGATTTGATTTCCTCTGTAGAAAGACGTCATGAGTGAGTCACAGTCAGAGTCATACATTTAGATTAAATTCAGGATTTAAGATTCATTGATTCATTGTTTTATCTTCATTATCTTATTTATTTGTTCTCTGCTTTAACTTTAAAAACTCTGTTTCAAACTTTTGACCAACTATATAAAACTTAAACTCCAAAAGTCTGAAGTTGCGTCAGTTTGCAGGATAAATGGTGGAGAAGAGTTTTTTAATTTTGATGCAGTAACATTTTCCGTTGGCAACAAGCATCTTCACACAAAATGACTATTAGATTAGATTTAGAGAAAAAATTCAGAAATATTTTCAAGTTGCTCTTTAGACATCTGACGATCCACAATGCTAACTGATGACATTTAATTACTCCCTGTGGCATTTAATGGATGCAAACTACATTTGGAGGTCATAACTGATCAGATTCAGTTAATATTAAGACCAGTCTCTCAGCTCCATGTTGCATATTTTCACTGTTTTGTGTTGTAGTTCACAGACTTTCACACAGATGATGCATGAATTATAAAAACTCTTTAATATCTACAGCACATATGATCACCTGGTGGAGACTGAGCCACTTGCTTCATGGTAAAGATCCAATATCAGCCAGTCATTTAGTGTAGCTTCCGACCTAAGCTAAAACCTGCCTCCTTCAACATTAGGAGCTGGTATTAGAATAATAATAGAGTTTTATTAACAGTCTGTACTTGGAAAACTGAGTTTAAAGGGCACATAATGATCCATTTAAATGCTCTTTTTGAACCTTTTCTATCCAGCTGAAATTAAATTCTATAAATTCTTGTGAGTTCTATTAAAAAATGGAATAAAAAAAAAAAGGCCTAATTTAAAAATATTAAATATTGACATGAAATATTAGCGACTTAGGGCTACAGTAATTGGCCCGCAGAAGCTAATGTTTGATGAGCAACACTATGTAAGTTCAGCGTCCAGCACATTATAAATGCAGCAGTAATTGTTATGCACATTAAACTTGATCTGTTCCACGACTTATTTCCTTATCCATTTTCCAAATAGCCCCATTAATGTGAAGGAATGCACACTCCCCATCCCTGTGGGCTGTCATGGTGGTCCGAGGCCATCCCCACCCCTCCCCACCACCACGCTATTCAATTGTCCGCTCACCCTTGTCTTCATCCGTCACTCCCTCCTCCCTCCTCCACCGACACACTGCTGCCAGGAACTGTTCTATTACAGCTGTTCTAACACCTGTTTATGTGTCCCGCCTGGGGACCTTTTAAAATCCAAGGTCACCGCCTCAGAGGCTTTTAACCTCAACTTGAAAGGAGGGGCTCCACCTTTAACTCCCAACACCCCCCTTCCTACCGCCACCTCCATCCTCATCCTCCCCACCGTTGCATATTAAGACCCCGCCCCCCCCCCCCCCCCCCCAAGACATTTGCACAAATGTGTATCTGTGTGTTTGCCTCCGTGCACATTTGCCCCCGTGGCACATCATAAACCAGTAATTCACCATGCATCATTGATTAGAGTAAGAACTTATCATCTTTTCCAGTAAATGCTATCACCGACATATGTGTTATGTCGCATTAGTGATTCATCCTGGAGGCGGTTCGTCCTTAACATCTGGACTGAGATAAAATTGCCACAAGAAAAGATGATGCATTTACATTTATGGTATATAATGACACAAAATAATCCCATAACCACCACCACTACTACTCCTACATTATGAATAAGAATAAGACTGGAGATATTCACAGACTGAGCCCGGAGCCAAAACACAGTGAGATAGTAATTAACTAAATTTGCTATGTTCATGTTGCTAATAATTCCTTCTGTTTTATGCTATTTAAACCGGAAACCTGTCTTGAATATCTTGTTCTTACTCCCTCTGGACTTGAAAGGTGGCTCTGAAAAGTTTGTAGCTGGAGAAAAGCAGCTACAGGTAACAGCAGGTAACTCACAGTGGTTATGATCAATTGTTAAAGTTAACCCACTTTAATTATGAAAAAAGTATTAAAACAGCCAGTTTTAAACCACTCTGTCTGTTTATTTGCTCTGTATTTTAAAAAATATACTATATACAGCTTTCATTTGTTGCTAGGGCGGTTAAACAGGTAACCGTGCTGGCTGCAAGTGAAGGCTGTGTTTAAGTTATTATTTTGGCTAAAATACCTAAATGTACAGATAGACAGCACAGATGTGGATCATGCTGCAGGAGTCTCTAACTCTAAAGCATCATTATTAAAGTTATCAAAAACATTTTGGAGATGGAGCGAAAGAGTGAAACTCAGGAGCTCATGTTGGTGGTGTTCACAGGCCCTTGTTGACAGTGTTGCAGGAGGTCTAATATCAGAAAATGAATTGATCAATAAGTTGTGTTTATCATAATTGTGAAGGGATCACTCTATTCCCACCACTAATCACTGGACTTTTTAATTACATTGTAAAACAAAAAAAACGTGACAAACGACAAAAACCTCTGAGCAAGCAGATTTGAGGTTTCTCAGACCTGGACATAACGTCCATCTCACTGTGATATTCTTATCTTTCCATGAAGTAAATTCAAAATAATGAGAAGACCTCCACAGTTTTCCCCTGACGTTCATGAGTTTGTTTTCTGCCAACGCTCGTCTATCTCCTGTTCTGCTTTGCAGAAGCTGTTTCTGGGCATCAGTTACCACCACACTAATGTTGTTCAATAGATTAGTATAAGGTTTAAAAGCGACGTGGATCAGCTCTGTTCAAATTCTGCCAAATGCAAGTACCAGTACCATCAGGGGCTCAGTAACCAGTAGCTATAAATTAGAATAATCTATTACACCACCTTGATAATGGGGAAAAAGTGACGTTATATTATATATAATACAGTCGCCAATAGTTCTGCTCATTAACAGGCTCTAGGAGGAAGGATTTACAAAACAGAAAATGGTCTCATTACTTTGATGAGAAGAGAGAGATGTGGGAAATCAGTGTCGTGAAATGCACACAGAATTAATAAGGCAAAAAGCATTTTAACCCTTCTGCAGGCCGCTCATTATAACAGCTGAGAGACTTTGGTGTATAAGAAGAGAGAAAATCTGATGTAAATAACAGCAGAGCAACAAGATGAGGCTTTTAGTAACATGTGTCTGCACAAATCAATTATTCCATAGCAGGGAGTGCACCAGTAAGACATACATTAAGCATAAAAGCAAATAAGTGAGTGCACCTTCTTCTAATTGCTGTTGGAAATGCTAATACGCATCCTGAAGCAGCTCTCCTGTGTTTATCCCTGCTAATGTGAACATATCAGTCCAAAACATTAAAGGCATTTCTGTTCACGCGCTCGGATCAGAAGGCAGAACAAGCAGCGCCGGCTGCTGTTTGATTCCTGCTCACTGCACCGTGTGTGCGACTCCCTCTGCCGCGCTGCCTCAGCTGGGCTTCCTCACCTCCGGGGTCGGCCAGTCAAACGCTGCCAGAGGTCGACATGTGGCTCATAATGCTGCGGCGGCGGCGGCCAACCGCTCGCAGACATTCAGGGGATTTCAGATGGTTCCGGTGGCATGATTTTCACCTCACGCTGCGTTATGTGAACAGATTGATCCACAGTGAACGAACCGCTGAATAACAGGAGTGTGGATCTGCTTATGAAGTGTATGATGACTGCATTAAGGGGCGCTACTTTTAGCATGTTCCACCATCTGCCTGTGCGAGAACCTTAAAGGATCTGATTTGCTGCAACTTTCTCGTCTCATTTCTGACACTTTTTAACTACAGACAAGTTATTTATCAAACAGCTGTCATGTGAAGCGCTGCTTGTATCGAAGCAGCCACGCATGCATTAAAAGGCTGATGATATTCTGTATTTTTCAAACTGTCAACAAACCCCATCAGAAGGCCTAAACTAGCAGTGAATTGATCCTAATAACAAACATTTTCTATGTATCCAAAACTGATGTATAAGAAGAACACATCAGTGTATTATTCCACCACAGAAAATAGTCCCCAACAAATGTATTTATTTATTTACCTTTTATTTATTCATGTGAATTTGAAAAACATAATAAAAACAATTCAACAGATAATCCATAAAGAATTTAAATAACAAACAATAAAAATAACACACAAGGAAAATTTAAAATAAAAAATGAGTCACCAGTTTAAAACACTACTTACCCCTGTTTGAGTGACATTTGGTAAAAGCTCCAGAGCCCAGCTGTTTTAGGAAACTGCCGAACCTTTTTTTAAAAATCAAACTACATATGCTTGACCTACTTTGAAAGATTCACATCAGAAACACAGGGAGAATAAATGATCTGTGTCACAGACGAGGGCGGGAGAGTCAATATTGTATTTGGTATTTTCATGGGATTTGTTGACAAGAAACAAAAACACAGAATAACCCCCAGTGTTACGCTTTAAGATTACACAAAAATGGGGGAAGGCAAGTGTGACTGTGTTTATTTCACTGGATTAAAATTGTTCATGTTCAACCATTATTCATACAGTAATACAGCAAATGCACTGTTAAAAGATACAATAGAAAAGACATAAAATGACTAGAACAGTCATTAATAGAGCAGACTAACAGA